GATATTAGATCAGCTACAAACCTGGTGCCAAAAGAATAGATTAATTATTCATGAAGGGAAATGTGATGCATTACTCCTGGATACAAAACCCTTTATTGGCCCTCTGAAGGATTTAGTCTGGGGAGACAAAACCATTGAATACAGATCTTTCCCTGTATGTCTTGGTATAGCCATTGATGTAAGACTCTCCTGGGCCAATCATGTAAAATCTGTCTCTACCTCATACAGCTCTAAAGTTACAATGTTAAGACGCATAAGCTTTTTACCAAAAGCCACACTAGAAACAATTTATTACAACACAGAAATCCCAAGAGTATTATATGGTATGGCTGTGTGGGGCTCTTGCTTAATCCACCTCAGAGCAGCAAGACTTATCCACAAACTACCAAGAGACATGGAAGACAAAACAGTACTTATAAATGCAAATTGGATGCCATTGAAATATTGTTATTGTTCTCGTATTCTAAATATCACGCATGGAACTTTTTATAATATAGATTTAGATGATGTTAATAGTCTAGTTGTTAAGAACGCTTCTTCTTATAGTCTTAGGAAATCGTTAAATGTTGTTGTATCTAGGCCAAGAACCGAACAGGGCCGTCNCTATGTCAGAGACAACAGTTTCCAAAAGGAATGCTCTATAAATTATAATAAGAACCCTGAATCTAGGTATTTTTTTGAATTATTTGATTACTCTTTTTATCGTTATTGTATATTATTTTAGCTTTATGACAATTGTATTGTAAATTTATGTTTCTCTTATTTAGACTTAGTAGTAGTAGGTCCACATCAGCTGTGCAGTTGCTTATGGTGACTTTTCTACAGAGTAGTTCTACATTCATCATATGCTAACTAAAAATTAAAAATACATAGAGATATATCAGTATAATTTACCAGTAAAAACTATGTGGAAAACACAAGTATGTGAAACAGCGACACTGTTTCATGTTTATTCTGACGAAGGCGACAGAAAGTATGCAGAAAATTTAGTTTTAAAATTTTTCGCGACACTTACTAAACTGATCAGTTTTAAAGTAGTTTTTTTATGCTAGTGCATTCGCCGTCACTACAGTGCACATGTTTCAGAGAACATCTGACAGTCCTTAGGGAGTCTTCCTGGATCCTCGTGTTGCGATTGCCTGTCTCCGAACAGGACAAGCGCCAATTCAGCAAGCATGCAGCTGTTAAAACTTTAAAAAGTTTCGGAACTCGACAAGAACGCTTAGATTAGAACTTCGCGTGGTCGCAGCGTGAAGGACGAGCTTGCGCTCCTCTACCTCTTGCGTAAACTGCAGCTTATGAGCCCTGAGGCCCGTTTGCCGAAAGTCTCGGAAACTTTTCCTGCCCGCAAAGCCATTTTTAGTTCATCGGTATCTAAAAACAGCGAGGTGTATACGCCTGAAACTTCTTGTCTAAAGAGAACCTCTCTTTGTATTAAGAATATGTGAATAAAACAGCTCTAAGATTTGAGATTTTGCTGCGGCTTTCCGGGTGCGGAAATCTTTCTGGACCTTCGAGAAACGGGCCCCTTAGTCCAGTTCTGGCCCTCTTTCTAGTAGCGTTGCGTGACAGAGAGAGGGCCAAAACTGGACTACGGGCCCCTGGGCCTTCGAAAGGGGTTTTGGATGGGCTTATAAACGGAAGGACTTATATCCTGGGAGACTTATGAGCGGAATAAAACGAGCTGTTTCGAAACGAGCTACAGCAGTGTGGATTGGAATACGATTTTCATGTACTGGTTTTTAATTAAGCTTTAAAACATCATAATGTGAATCGATTTCAGAGGAGGGCTTATATCCGAGGGGCGGGAACATGCGAGGGGCTTATAATCAGAAGTAATAGTTTGTTTACAGGTAGATGGGTCTGTAAATATGCAGCAGTTTAATTAAGGTATATCGAGTCACGCTCTGCATGATCAAATTTCTTTCTAGGAATTCGCCACTCCCTTTATAAAATGTTTACTCAAAACAGCTTCAAAGGGTATGAGCGTGTTTGGAATTATGTCCTTTCCAGCTGCGTGAGAATGGAACTTTCTGGGAAAAGCTTAATTTTGATTGTGTTTCTTATGCTCGTACACGATGCAGTGTGCACTCATTTTCGAGGAGGTACGTTTACCTACAAGCCAGTCAATCCAAGCGACCCTGCAAACACGACGGTAAGTTTAATTTCTTTNTAGGGCCGAGAAGCGAGCCTTGAGGAACCCCATAGTGCACAAAGTCAGTGGCAGACCTGCAGTTATTTACTTCAGTAAACTGGCGTCTGTTAGATAGATAGCTCATAAGCCATTCATGGAGTGATCCTGATATACCAATAGCATGTAACTTATAAGATAATATGTCGTGGGGAACAGTGTCAAAAGCTTTTTGGAAGTCAATAAAGACCGCTCCCACTGTCCGACCGTTGTCAATTGCTATCTTCCCCTTCTCAGTCATTGAAATCAGCGTTCCTTCAGTCGAAGTCGAAGTTTCATTGTTCCAAATTAAAATAATTTGGCTAACACACAGCCTAAATCTGAATGTTTACAATATGCATATTTAAGGAAAACACTGGTCACTGATGCAAACAATTAAGGGGAATAGTTATTTGCAGTGGCACGACCAAGGAATTCTCAAAAGGGGAGGAGGAAATATTGTGGTCTGTTATAATAACTTGGAACAATAAGGCTGGGTGGAAGGGGGGGAGGGGGGAGTCGCAATACTGGAAATAGATCTAGCTTTGTACGTTGCAGAGCAGTTAACAGACATAATTTTGTCATAAACACTGGAACAATGAGTTATAAGTCAGGCTATCCTGAGCCGTGTACATGGTCAAACAGCACACCTAGGGAGCGCGAAAAAAATTAGAAAAACATTAGCCTGAAGCATAAACAAAAATCCAATCTAAGAGGTTTCTAAATATCTCAAAAGATATCCGGATATTTGTATATAGGCCTAATGAAATCTACCGTGAGAGGCCCCGGAGAGCGTCCCCTGGAGCGGCCCCAGTGGCAAGCTGATGCAAATTTCTTTCTAGGAATTCGCCACTCCCTCCCTTTATAAAATGTTTACTCAAAACAACTTCAAAGGGTATGTGCGTGTTTGGAATTATGTCCTTTCCAGCTGCGTGAGAATGGAACTTTCTGGGAAAAGCTTAATTTCGATTGTGTTTCTTATGCTCGTACACGATGCAGTGTGCACTCATTTTCGAGGAGGTACGTTTACCTACAAGCCAGTCAATCCAAGCGACCCTACAAACACGACGGTAAGTGTCTTTGGAAAATGTTAGCGTCCATGAATCGTTCATGAAGCAAGTGAAGTGCTGTTCAGTGGCTTTTGGGTTAAACAGTTCCACGTCAGATGGCTTTTTATTCATTCTTCTTGATTTGGATAATGAAAATGAGCCCAGATAGCAACAATTTAGCTGATACTGCGAAGTCTTCGTTTGTTTGTCAACCTTGTGAAGATAACTATCCTCACAGGGTTGATTAATTAGACATAGAAACATTTTGAGCTCAATGAATCCAAACATATTAGATGGCGTAGAATGCCCCTTGATTATATTTATAAGTGTTTATAGTTTCTTTTTGCAAAGATCAGAGACTGGCACATAAGAAAACAAACTTGTTTCGACGTAGGATCAGTCTTCATTTCCGAGAAGTCCGCCATCTTAAATCTGTTTGTACGAAATCGTACTGTTGTGAAATGATCCTTTTGTGATAGTAGCATTATTAAAGATGCATTCTATTTGTTTGTTTTCTGTAGTCTGCCATTCCTAGCTTGTTTTCAGGCTACATCTTAATCATTTTCACCAACCAGCTTGTAGCATGAATCCTTTTCTGCGTTATTGGGTTGATTTTCGTAATTAACAATCTCCTCGGCTCGCTCGTTCTGATCACTGCAACAGCTCTATTTTGAAGCGGGCCAAGAAGCAGAGCGCGATACACGAGCGTGTTCCGTACCAATAAAACATGCTTTCTCTGCAGGTTATGTTTAAAGAAATCGGCACGACATGTTTGATTGAGTGACTCAGTTTCTAGTTCGATTGCATTGTTCAACTATGAGCACGATATGGTTGAACAACCTTTGAAGACTGCATGAGGAGTTTTCCCACATTCCCTCAAACTTTTGATCAGTAGACTGATGAATCTTTTAATTGGCAAGTTTACTTGACGTAATTGGTGTTTCAGAATCGATTGTCGTCAGATTCCTGTTTGTATTTCAATTGCAAATGATTGATCACTGAACCAAAATATTGTACTGGGCAAAGGACCACTGCAAGATTTTATAACACAGCAGTGCGATATGCAGAGAAGCTGTGATTTATTTGCGTTTTATTCTAGTATGTTTTAATGATCACTAAAATTAAAATGAGCATTTTTGTAGAATACAGTGAAAGAAATTAATGATAAGCATTTTAAGCGAGGCAACAAGGCATGAATTAGCAAGGCTAATTATGATATCTGTCATGAATTTAAAGAAAACGACAAAACTTTAAGTTTCAAAGACATTTTTCAACAGATTCTCCTGTCATCCTCAGTTAATTGATTTACAAAGCGTTGGAAGTAAAATTTATAATAAGTAGAAAAATGCTAAGTGAAAAGCGTGAAAGCTAAACAACATCTGAGATGTTACAGTGCTGGGATAAAAAACTTATCTGAACTATCCAACAAAGGTTGTTTTCAGAAAAATTGACGCGTGATAGAAGCTCAATAGATAGTTTTTTTGGGCCGACCATGCTTCTGGTCCTTCTTTTAGGCTGGTTTCCATGTAATTGCCACGATTCTTGCAATATTGGAGGAAATAGTGAATATTTAGCAGATTTAAAGGCTGCTTTTAAGATTTGTGCTTTGGCGAGATTTCAAGAGTTTTAGAAATTGGTATTTATTCTTTGATTTATTTTTCTATATACTAGCTTTTATATCTATCACTTTGACTGTAATTAATTACTGAAAAACAAGTTTTAATGTTGTGTCTAGTGTTATAATGTGTAGTGTTATAATGTGTCTAGTGTTACATATAGCTTCTGCTATATATTTATGCACATTATATGCAGAAGCTGCAGAATGTAATTTGTCTCACTAGACACTTTCTCTTAAGTATTAATTATGGAGCACACGGCGGCTAAGATTGCTTGTACAGCCTCAACTGACCATAGTGGTCAAGCATTCCAGTCATATATGAGAAAAACTATCGAAGAGGCTTTATAAACTCCTATCAAAGTCACGACACGTTTCAGACAACAGCTAAGAAGCCTGAGTGAATCTACTTGAACCTTTTCTTCCGAGAAATCAGTTGTAAAAACCATATATTCCGGGGATATATAAAGAAGAACTTTTACACCTCTTGTTGTCAAACTTTTCATGCGATCGTCTTGACTCGAAAAACCGGTGGAGCAAGCAAGCAAGCAAGCACCTAGAATCCTGCCAGAAACGTTTCAAAGAGGTCAGTTCTTATTTTAGAGTTTCGAAACGTTTTAGAGAGCGGCTGACAGCCCCGAGTGAATATGCTTCTGTTATTCCGAGAAATAATAAAATCTATATAGAGAATAACTTTATACATCTTGCTGTGAAGATTTTTCATGCGATTTTCTTGACTCGAACAACACACGAGAGCAAGCAAACACCCCAAGAATCCTGACGAAAACATTTCCAAGGGGGTAACATATTTCAAAATTTCGACAGCTTCAGAGAACAGCTGACAGCCCTGAGTGAATTTTTTCAGTTCTTCCGAGAAGGTCGAGAAATAGTAAAATCTATTATTAATTTTAATCATTAAAATATTGTATTAGTAAAATACTGCGGAGAAAGACTTTATTGACCTATATAATTGTTGCGATTATGGATCCAAAAATTTTTGGCATAGAAGGTCCGCAGTTTGGCAATATAAATGTCGGAAATTTACACCTTCAGTGCAACGTTTCTGGAACTGAAATGACGACCTGAGGTGCCATTGAAACCCATTGATATTTGATATAATCGTGTCACGCTCAGATGTCTTTCTAGGAAACCTCTAAACAAATTCAAGGACATGTCCCGGGGATTAAATGTACGCGTTTTTGGAAGCTGCAAGAGATTGACACTCGCTGCGAAATCTATGATTTTGATTGTGTTTCTTGTGCTCGTAAACGATGCAGTGTGTAGTCATTTTCGCGGCGGTACATTTACATACGAGTCAGTCAGTGAACCCCAGCGACCCTGCAAACACGACGGTAAGTGTATTTAGAAAATGCCAGCGTTTCTAACCAGCCATGTCTGAATCAAACAACAATCTGTTCAGAGGTTTCTACGTGAATTATGGTTGTTTATTTAATCGCCTTTATTTCGGTTGAAACAAAAAAAAACGTACTTACCAGTTTGGAGATCAAGGTAATCCCTCTGTTGGCATTGCGAAGCAACCCTGCAGAACACCTTGGCTTCGTCAAGCGATGCTAGTTGACGAGCGCGAAAAAAAAATAGAAAAACATTAGCCTGAAGCATAAGCAAGTAATCGTTAATTTCTCTTAAATGCCACATTTTTTAAAGTATCTACGAGGTTTTTAAACATCTCAAAAGATATCCGATTATTTGTAAATAGGCGTAATGAAATCTTCTACCTTGAGAGGTCCCGGAGAGCCTCCTCGGGAGCGGACTCAGTGCTTACTTACTGGCTTGCAATGTTACCGAACGGTGCACCGTGAAACAACTGACGAGCTTTAAATCACAAGCCCAATTAATAAAGTGGTGAGGGACAAAGATCAGAGACTGGATATGCAGTAATGAAACAAGCTTGTTTCGGAGTAAGTCTCGCAGTATAATGCGCATCGTGGCGCATGAAAATTTCCAAGAATTCGGCCATCTTAAATCTGTTCATACGAAATCATACAATAAAATCATGATCTCAGCTTGTTGTTATAACAGCATTATAGATCCATTCTCTAGTCCGCCATTCTTCTCTTTTTTTGCGTTTTCTGTGGCAAGGAAAGAAGGGAGGGAAAAATCGTACCGTAGTTCATCTCGTGCGAAGAGACCGTTAGTTACTGTTCGTGAACCGTTTCAACCTTTTTCTGGGAAACTAGATCGTTGAGATTTAATTTAGTGGTACAGTTTTAAGCTCCGCATTTTGTTCTATCTCAATGTAATTACGGGCATGTGCTTTGTACATTGGATATTTTGCAGTGCGGCTTCCGCAACCAAGGCCT